TGAGCAGTTCCATTTATTGGCCATGCCTTACGGATTACGCGCAGTTCGGTTGGGCGCGCTTTGCACTAGCTTGTCACCACACCATTAACCCCAAAGTTGAAGTCCAGCTTGCAGTATGGAGATTTAAACCCCATATTCCTATATGATAAATCTGTTTGTCACATAAAGCAATCCTATTCTGATGAATAATACCAGGAAGTTTGAGGTCTCTCTTCTTAAGCCTGTTTTCTCTCTCATTTTAACAGTGGTCACCCACAGACATCATGTAAATACTATACTCAAAACTGCACTTTTGCTAGACCAGCAAACGAATAGTGAAAGTATGTGCAGCGTGAGCATCATAAGTGGCACAATGAAGTCTTTAAAATCTGACAGGTACACGAGGAAAAATTCATTTAAACTTCATGTGGTTTATAATTGCAACTTTGCTTACCTTTCCTTCTTCTAAAGTCAAGTCCTAGATCTGTGTAGACAAGATTACATCTGTTCACATAAAACCATGGAATGGAAACACTTTTGAATTTTAAGTATGATGGAAGGAACTTTATTTTACCTTCATTAATACTGGTATAATAATTTCACTTCAACAAAGGCGAACTAACCTGCCCTGTACGACACACATGGACGAACATAATAACGTAGCCATGAGCTGCACCCATTGCATGGAGGAGGGGAGTAGCAGCAGCCGATGTGAATGCTGAATCAAGATTAGGAGCAGATGCTAGTTCATGTAACAAGACTGAGCTGCCAGGAGCCTTTACAGGGCTGTGAAGTGGTTGCAGCTGCTCAAGTACTTTGCTCAGTTGATGAAGTCCTTCCCTCAATACCCTAGGCTCGTGTGCAAGGTTCTGAAATGCACAGCACAGAACAAATCAGCTTCTTCTTCAGTGGAAAGGCAACAGAGATAACTTTAAATTATAAAATATCTAATATTACAATTTCAGAGATCAATATCCTCCTTAGTTGTAACTATGAGATACCTCAGGGTATCAACGTCGTTAGCACAAGTAAACCAAAGATAAGACAGCGCCAATACGCACCTTACAATTTGTTAGCACCATAAAATTACTTGTGCTATTACAGTAGACACAACAGGTCAACAACCTGTTCTCATTTAGTTCATTTAATGTCACTGTAACACTATTTTCCAGTAAACAAAAGAAATACCACATTTACGTATCCGTGAATTTGCATATCAGCACTAAGCCTCATCTCACCAGAATTGACTTGCAAACAGATGCAACAGCTTGCGCAGCAGTTGCGACAGGATAATCAACAGGCAGATTTGGTAGTCCAAGAATAGACAACAGTGGAACCAGTCCATTTTGAGCAACAAATTCCCGACAATGGTCATCTGTTGAATTATTACTCAGGATTGCATCCACAAATTTCATCTGAAAGGAAGAAAACATTTCATGGTTTTCACTCATTAAAGAATAACATAATTTATTCTCAGAAAATTTATCATACTATAACCCATTTCACTTTTTACGGTTTAAACAATAGTATGGGTATAAAAATTATCCACAAAAACATCTAATCCACTGTTAGAATTCAATAGAAATACATGCGCTAGTGCGTGTCTTTTAACCTTCTGCAGTTTGCATTCAGTACAAGCACAACACAGTTAACACACTACTTTATATGTTGTGTATTAACAACACAAATGCATTAAACACTAAGAAGAGGATTAAAATTTATTGGAATTATTGTAATTCTTATACCAATGTTAAAGCGTTTTAATAAAAAGTAACAGTAGAAACAGCCTCTGCAGAGCAGCAGAGAAGAGATTTGTAGGTGTGGAAGTAAAACCCACAAGAGGGGAGGGGAAACATTTCAAAATGCAAGAATAAAAAATACACAAAATTCCAAACAAACTAACATTTAAAACTCCACAGCCTTTCACAATTTGAAATTTTTCAACATTTTAAAGGTCTCAAAGGTTTTTGCAATTTCAAATTCCTAAAATAAAATTCACAATTTCCATATTTAAAATTCCAAGATTCAAATTTCAAATCACCATTTATCTTAACCTAACATTTCTTACCTGAAACTAAAACACCCAAACCTGTCACAAAATAACATAAAGTAACCTGACAACGTAACTGAACCCAAATTAACATTAACAAATACTATCTCACCTAACCTGTACTAGCATAACCCAACCTAGCCTGAGCCAACAAAACTCAGTCAGCTGGGCAAACACGACCAGCCAATATTGCATTCTTATCATGCGATTTGTGCAAATAACAGAACTAAATTTTTTACGGCACCAGAAGTTTTTAAATTAATGAAAATGTGTCAAAACAAGAGAATTAGAAATACCAAATTTTATGCCACGAACTTGCAAATTAACCCAAGTATATTTGTTCAGAACAGCACATGCACCCATACAAAATAGGAAACTTACCACATTCAAAATATAGTCTATCAGAGCAATGGGTGTCTTCTCATGCAAAGCAGACGAATCTGAAGCAGCATCCTCCCGCTGCGGGTGTGAAGAAGTAGAAGCTTCTTCCTCATCCTCGTCTTCTTCATCACTGCTGCCGCCTTCATTGTTTCCACTAGGGCGTGGAGCAGGGGCAGGAGTTACATCCATCTTATTTTGTGCTCTCCAACAAATATACTTTGGGTCACGGCCAAGAACACACAATTCTTCCAGCAACTGAAATAAAAAAATTACCTTTCAACATAGCAGTTGTACGCAGACTTCAAAATTGTAGATACAGACCACAAGGGGCACGTTTGGATCCAATGCAGTAAAAACAGGTTGTATTTTGTGTGTGTGCTCTGCACAACTGGCAAAAAACAAGATGACTGTCACTGAGCTGGAAAGGAATGGTGATGAAGCACTTCTGGCCTACTTCAACACAGTACTGGATGCTGCATGAAGTATTTCCCCGTTTAAACATTACACAGAATCTAAATTTATTAAAAAAAAATTCACAAACTTTAATGCATACAGAACCTTAGACATGGCAAGATGTCCTCAGCACAAATGTTTCAGCTTCAAGACCTTGTCAAAATGCAACAACTTTCAGGTTCAAGTCTTCATCGACCAGACTACACAGCGCAATAACCCAGAAGACGGATATCTTATGAGTTTCTGTTGCTAATAAGCTGGGATTAATCCGTTACTCAATGGTACTTACAGGAAATAATTATGCACTGTATGGTGTGGGTCCACAATTAATGGTGGAAAATGATTAATAACAAGTAGGGCATTCACAATACACACCTTTATTATTGCATACATTGCATCCACTTTCAGGCTTGGCTGATGTCTCATCAATTCATCCATTGCATTGCCAAGGTTAGAAGCCGTGTCACCCATCGGGTCAGAGCTTCGCCGACGCCTCATCGCAGCCAGGTACACGGGTGACAGGAGGACTTTGAACAGTCTGTTAAATGGACTACACTGCACGAAAGAGTCAAGACCACGTGCATTCAGGCAAAGGGCACTGAACACATTTGGCAGCGATCCCAATACTTCTCGTGTTGCTGGTACCTGATGATAAAGCAACTCTGTGAATATTTCCCGCAAAAGAAACAGTATTCTCAAAAAACTATCTTACATACATGAACTTTACTTACATCCTTCACAAGAAGAGCCTGTAGGACCACATCAGTGAGGCCACTATCCTGTAGTGAAGAAAGTAAGGACGGCTCTTGGAATACATACACAGTTACCACATCTGTGGCAAGCAGGAACAAAGAAGGTCCATAGTATTCAGCATTACTAATAATGTGTTTCAGAGAGGATGGAAGTGAACCTTCCATCACATGACGAATGCTGTCTGAAAATGCCGGATCCTGAATGGCTTTTTTTAAGAAGTTCAACATTGACTTGAGCAAAGCTGCCCTTTGTGGCAGACATGTCTTTCCTGTCCTGGCAGCACTGTAATCAGGCAGGGAACCACTGGACTTCAAACAATTTGCCACCTGTGATGTCAAAGCACTCTCATTGGACACATAGGTGAATGATGTTGAAGCCCGAGGCACTTGCATCGGAGTACTTGTTAAGCGACAATTAGATGATTCTTGGGAAGGGGTAAGTATCACTTCCATTGGTGACATCACTGTGCCTGAATTTAGACTATCTGTACTCTGTTCACTACCACTTGGTACATTTTCCTCCGAAGGCACGACCATATTATGCGAACTGTTGGATGAGCTCAGACCCTGTGCCACAAAACCTTGTCCATGAGGATCCTGGATTTCTGGATGAGAATTTGAGAATGTTATCTCAAATGGCTGTTCCTTCCGGCATACGGTCACTTCAACCTGCACAATATTAACATGTTACTCTCTAATAATACAGATCATATAAACAATAACATAAAAGAGAAGTACTTCATACTTCAAACTCACCTCCAGACGACTGATAAAACTTGTCAATCCACCATGCATTTGGAATGCTTGCATGTCAATATTTGTTATGAGATCAATTACTCTCACAGCTCGCGTCACAAACTGCAACATTACATAAAGGTGGTAAACAAAAAATAAAATTGTTGAAGTGGGAAACAAATTATATCCAATCGTCACACATCCAGTAACCCGTATCAGTAATGTACAGTGATTACTAATATGTAATTTAACAGATACATAACTAGACGGTGAGGATTCAACCAACAGCAGTACTATGGGTTTGCAGTTTACTCAATGGGATGTTGGAATCCAACCTGCATAAAAATGCAACTTTATCTTAATATGGGTCAGCAGGTTATAAAATGCAAGGACTTGGGTAGCAGATTCTGGGGAACAGGTAGTCTCTCAATCCATGACTGTACTTCATACCCACAAACATTTATGTGAAATACCGCACTTTGGATAGCAAACAGGGTAGCTCAGCCAGTACATTATTAACTCGTTCAAACTCTATTTTGCCAAAAACTGCATGTCGAGCAATGTTTCACTTTAGTTTCTGTTTTTTATTAGGCACAGAGACTTTGAACATGACCGGAACTTCGCAATCAGAAATTAAAAAAATTATATATAAAACCACAATCTTGGTGTTCACTGGGATAATGACAGCATTCCTGACTGGAAGCTACCAGAGTTACTGACCACAAGGCAACAAAATTATGAAAAGTATATCGGTATAGCATCATACCTACATAGCTACTGAAACAGACAGGTTACTGTGTATCACTCTGTGCCTATGCAAGAGAGACAGCTAAACAGCAGAGGACGTACGACATGACGCACAGTCTGAGGCATCATGCTTCGAACCGCGGATACGGAATGCGTGCTGGTTCGAGTCTCGGGGGAGAATAAATTTTCTCATGAGATTTTCGACCAGTGTATGGGACCGGTGCCAACCCAGCATCGTGAGGAAATTGGGGAGCTACAATGGGTAGCGTAATCCGGTCAAGAAGGCTAGCAATGGCTGGAGGTTCGTCATGCTGACCACACGTCACCCTATATCTGGTTGGATGATCGTTCACCTCTGCTTAGGCATGTGAACGTGAGGCCAGCTAGTCGGCTTTGGCTCTCTGGAGCTGTTACGCCACGGATTTAATTTTTTAGCACAACTGCAGTGCATAAACAATGCAGGTCTACTTTATGTAATTTGCTAGTTTCACTCATATACAACCTCCATGTTATTTCCACATATTCCACAGCGAACAGATATGCTCCTAGGAAAATAAACTGTCAGTACTCACTGTGATGTGTTCCAGCTCTGTCCCAGGCCAGTTGATAACTCGTAGCAGACTCTCCATCATACCACAGCTGACAAGCGCTTCCCCACCAGCTTCATAACTGGCCAGATGATAAAGGAAACTGAATAGGGCAGTAGCAAGGGGTAAGGGAAACTGAACGCTGCATGTGTCCGAGTATGAAGACGTCAATGTCATGATACAAGTGCGGACTAACGCAGGAAGGAAACCATGGTATGATCCAGCTCCTGTTACATCAATTATCATGTTCAGTCTTGAACCAGGCTTCCTGCTTCAAAAGCATTAAAAAAACATGTATTACTAAAATGCTTAAAACGCAGTCACATAGTTAGTCGTACGATTTAATAATTCATGTATGCATCATCCTGTTTCTACATGAAAACTAAAACTGTTTCATGACCCAAATCAGGGGAGGTGGGATACTCAATACGGTCACAATGAAAACATTTTTATTCTATTTCCTTGTTGAAGTGTGTCCAAAAATTAAACCTGTATCTCTTAGATGTACCACTGCTGATCAATTTAGGATTTCAGCAAAAAATTATGAGAACCACTACACTGATACACATACTTAGGTAAGTGTGGATTCCGGTCTAGATGAATTATTGACGTCAGAGTACGTAGAGCAGCTGCTCGAATTTCCACTAGATTAGGAATGGGCATTTCCAACAGTTCTACCAATTCCTCCAGAATGCCTGAATAGAGAAGTGCATGGGCATTCTCTGCCAGAGCATTTGAATACACGAGCACAGACAAGGCTTGAAGCCTTGCCTGAACACACAGAAGGCGAAGTCGACGGTTTGAGAAACAGTGAGCCAATCGTATGTGTGTAAAAAGTTGCATCTGAAACAAATATGGTAACAATATTCAATGTGATATAAAGAATAATAATGTTATG